ACACAATGAAATTGTATAATTTAAAAGGCAGAAAATGTTGAATTTAAGCTCCATTATTGGATTTATAATCATCATCTATTTCACTATATTTTGAAGTAGCAGATTTACTCGGTGTTGCTTGGGTCCTTAACTCAATTAAGAGGTTTTTTTGAAAATAAAAGGAAAATGTACATCCTTTATTTAAATGACTATATTTTTCAAAAATACACTGTTATTTTTATGAAGTTAATATTTATTTCAGATTTCTTTAAAAGGGATTGTTAAAATTTGTCTGTTTAACTTTTTTTAATGGTATTTTTTACTTCTTCCCTAGAGGCCTTTTTTTTATTAAAGCATAGCAAAAGATAAAAGTTTAAAGTCAGTTTGGTTCCCAATAGCACCGTCTTTTACTTTTCAAACCTTAAGCATTGATTTGGGTGCTGGAGGGAATTCAGTGTCTGGGAGGGGGACTGTGACTGAGAAGGGTGCAAGAGGGAGTGCAGAGGGTTTGGACTGTGACCGAAGCAGGAGGGAGTTGTGACTAGAGGCAGGGAATTGGGATGCAGAAGGGGATGGAGGGTCTGGGAAGGGGTATGGGTGGAAGAGAGGATTTTGACTTGGAGGAGGGTGTGCGGGGTCTGGGAGGAGGTTGTGACCTGGGGCAGGGGTGCAGGAGAGGGTATGGGTTCATGAGAGGATTTTGACTTGGAGGGGGTATAGGAGGGGGTGCAGATGGTTTGGGTTGATCTGGGGCTGGGAGTTGCGGGGAGGGAGGGAATGGGGTGCCAAGTATAGGCTCTGGTCAGGAGACACTTATTTTAGTTGACTCCTAGTCAACAGCTTCCAGGGACCCTTGCATGTTGCTCAAAGCAGCCGGCCGCTAGGGCCATATGTATCTCTGTGTGCCCCCTGCCCACTGGGGAGACCCCTCTGCTTGCTGCCTATACTGCAAGCATAGCCCAGGCAGCTCCCTTTGGCTGGTTTCTGGCCAACAGTCCATAAAGCTGGCCACTTTGATCAGTAGGCACTTTGATCAGCACAGTAGGCAGGGAGCCTGCCCGAGGAGAGTGGCAAGCTGGATCTGAAGGTTTAGCAGGCTGGATCTGGCCCAAGGCTGTATTTTGCCTGCCTCTGCTCTGAAGTGTGGATCCACCTCCATGTTTTTGTCACCTTTAGACTGAACCACTGCATACATGGAGCGACGCCTCAGATATATTTGAACACTGAAACTGGTATAGCCTGCTCTGAAGTGTGGATCCACCTCCATATTTTTGTAACCTTTAGACTGAACCATTGCATACATGGAGCGACGCCTCAGATACATTTGAACACTGAAACTGGTATAGAATGTGACAGCCCACTTCTTGACTAAGTCATCTCACCACAGACATGTTACACAAGAGCTCACTGATGAGCTGTAGCTACCCATTGGTTGGCATTAAGCATTAGCTTTGATCTTAGCACTGATGACTTAGGGAGCATCACCTTTCCTGTGTGATATTGTTTCCATTGAGCTCAGCATAGGGTCTCAACTCGGAGCACCCTCAAAATAAAACGGAGAGAACAGCGGACAAGGGATTCTCTGCAAGGTGCTCGCCGCTTTAGAATCTGAAATCCCAGTTGGCTTGAAATAGCCCATGTCTGCAGAGCATTCAGAGGAAGCTGCACAGCCCGTTATATCTCCCCAGGTGTTTGGGAAAGGAAGGGTGTGATAAAGGCTGATAATATGTGGGTGAGGTAGGATGTTATTTGGCTTTGATTTTTATTTATGGGTTGGTAGTTTCCTGAGGTTTGGATTACAACTAAATAACATAAATTATCTAGGTCTATTCAGAATGTCTGTGCATCACTCAGATTATCAAGGCTGAAATGTCCTTTGTTCACTTTCCCCCTTGTAGACATTTGTGAATGAACTGGATTTATAACAGGTTTGCCAACTTTCTGCAGAAAGCCAAACACCCCTGGCCCTCTCCCAAGGCCTTCCCCACTCGCTCCATTCCCCGCCCTCCTTCTGTCACTTGCTCTTCCTCACCCTTACTCATTTTCACAAGGAGGAGGTGAGGGCTCCAGTTGAGGGTGTGGGCTTTGGGATGGGGCCAAAAATGAAGGGTGTGGGTTGCTTGAGAGATCTTAGGGCTAGCGTAGGGGATGGAGTGTGGGAGGAGGCATGGGATGAGAGATATGGGATACAGGAGGGGGCTGAGTGACTGGAGTGTGGGAGGGATGTGGGGTGAGGGCTCTGGGAAGGAGTTTGGGTATAGGAGGGGGTTGAGGTGCAAGAGGGGTTGGAGTGCAGGCTCTGAATGGTGCTTACCTCAGATGGCTCCCAGAAGCAGCCACCTTGTCTCTGCAGGTAGAGGCCCCAAGGACTCTGAAAGCTGCCCCTGGCTGCAGGTGCCATCCCCACAGCTTTCATTGGCCATAGTTCCTGGGCAATGGGAGCTGTGTAGCCAGTGCTTGAGGTGGGGGCAGTGTGCAGAGCCTCTCAGGCTGCCCTTCCACTTAGGGCCTGCAGGGACACACTGGCCCCTTCCAGCAGCCATGCAGAGCCAGCGCAGGCAGGGAGTCTGCTTTAGCCCACTGCACTGCTGACAGGAATTTTGGTTTGCCTGAGCACCAACGCTGACCAAAGTCGCTAGGTTCCCTTTTTGACCAGGAATTCCCGTTGAAAACAGGATGCCGGGCAACCCTAGTTCATGACCTGATTTTCCCAAGGTGCTGAGTACTTGTAGCCTGCATCGATTTCAATAGGTGATTGCTCATTATCTTTGGGGGAGAAGTGAGCTATTAATATCTAATTACCATCCATCAGTATTTTCAATCCCCTTTTCAATCATCTTAATCAGAAAATCAAGGTATTAACATAATTACACATTGAATCTGGGCAACAAAGTTCAGGAACAGTACAATCTGGCAACAATGCATGCAGTGTTCATTCTAAAGCTGCACACTTTCATGATTAAGATGAAAATCCTTGTACGCTTTGGCGTGATCCCAGTTGTGCTCAGAGAGATTTTCTGTAAAACTGCTGTTGCTTTTACCCAGGTTTTTGAAATGGTAACATAAGCGATCCGGCAGACACTTACTGATGTGCTTTCTGCTCATGAAGCTGAGTAACCCCATAGAAATCAATAGGCCTCTGCACAGTAGATTTTTAAGCATATGCATAAATGTTTGCAGGATTAGGACTAGGGATGTTAGCTATTGGATAATTGAATAGTGGAGTAACTGCATGAATTCTTATTGGCTACTCAACTGTTCTGTAGTCCCCAGGGGCAGGGCCAGCAGCCAGTGCGCTTCGGCCCCATTCCCGGGGAGCCCCCTGCCATCCTGTATCAGAAACAGCAGTGCAGGGTGGCAGGCGGGAGCTAGTCTGAGAGGGGAGCCAGCCTCTGTTTGCAGCGAGCCTGGGCCTGTCACTGAGGCTGGTTTGAGCTGCCTGCGGGACTCTGATAGAGCCAGCAGCACTGGGAAATTGGGGATGGGGGGAGGCAGGTGGCACCAAAAATGCCCCACATTTCCCCAAAATGTTGATATATATAGAAGAGGTATTTTAGGGATAAAATCCTATTTGAACTACAGCTGCTTGTAAAATGCAGGAAAAATGTGGATACTTATTTAAATGATCAAAATCTCAAATACAGATTAGACCTATCGTCCGGACTTCTGTTGTCTGGCAACATCTGTGTTCCAGCCTCCCTGTGGGTGCTGCTGGGCCGGAGAATTCACTGAGAAAAACCAGGCCCCATGCTCAGCAACTCTTCTCTCGCCCTCCCACAGCTTCTAGAGTGCTGCAGTTAGCTCATTGGTGGGGCTCCAGCTCAGGGAGGGACGGAGGAGGAGGAGCGGACCTGGAGGGACACTTGTAGTAAGATGAGTAGCTGTGGCATAGCTGAGCCCCGTGGCTGTAGGGCTCAGAGTGTTCCTGCAGGGCGGTGCTCTTGCCCCAGACCATAGGGCTCCACAGCCACCCTGCCTTTCACCCCAAGTGTCCTCCCCAGCCCCCGCTTGATCAGTGTTAGTCCCTTTGCTATCACCAGAGCAGAGCCCTGCAGCTGGCACTGACCTGCTCTAGTTCAGCAAATTCCCTGGTTTCAGACCAGTCAGGACCAGGGAGGGGCAACGTGTACTGGAAAAAAAATTCAACCCATCTATGACCTGGTCAAAACCCAGTAATGCTATTTTAGAGAGAGTTTTTGGTCAGCTCTAATTTCAACCCCTCAAGTGTCAAACTCTTGTGCAACAGTCTTTTGAGACATAGATCTAATTTCGACATAGTCCTGAAAAGAAGCCATTTCCTTTACTTGACCCAAAGGACTTGGCAGCTCTTTTCCAACGACAAGTCAGAAAGATGTGAAATGTTCCTTTTCTCATCCCCATCATGCCAAAACCTCTGCACAGAGTAGCCTGGATGATGCACAGCTACTCATTCCACCCAGACATCTAAATAGCTGCACAAAATATTTCTTCACCAGTTGAAGCCAAAAGATTTTAATGAAAAAGACAAACCAATACGACATTTCATTACAACCCCTGCCCCACCCCCTTAAACTACTATGGCATTATTTTGCTTCATGCTTTTAATCCAGTTTCAAAGAGAGATTGTACTCAGCATTTCCAGTGTAAATCTGGGGTCACTCTTCAGTGGATTCACTCTGGATTTACACAGGGGTAGCCACACTGGGAATCAGGCATGCTGTAAACAAGAATGTTAAATTCCAAAATCATTGGGAAACATTTCCTTGCCTTCGTTTTCTTTCCAAGGGATTTTTTGGTCTGGAGTGCCACCTGGAGGTTGTTTGACATGTAACTTCATGTACGCTCCCCTGTTGTTTGCTGAATGAGCTATACATGAGGGGTGTGTCTAGACTGGCAAGATTTTGCGCAGAAGCAGGTGCTTTTGCGCAAAAACTTGCCAGCTGTCTACGCTGGCCGCTTGAATTTGCGCAAGAGCACTGATGTTCTAATGTAAGAATTCAGTGCTTCTTGCGCAAATACTTTGACGCTCCTGCTCAGGGATAAGCCCTCCTGCGCAAGAATACTCGTGCAAGAGGGCCAGTGTTTTTGCACAAGAAAGCCCGATGGCTAAAATGGATGTTAGTTTCCAAAGACCTAATGGTAATTGCACGCTGCACAAGCTAGTTCTGGATGCAGTGCTGGACTTCCTAGCACACAGAACGAGCACATCTCTGTGCTTGCATGGGGCAGCATCAATTCCCTTTTGCAGCTAGCAAACTCTGCTGGTCAGGGTGGAGATGAGGGAGCACCTGGTCTCCTCTCTACCTCTTTTAGATCCTGGGGTGGGGGAGGAAGGCGAGGCAGTCTGTGGGCCCAGGAGAGAGCATGGACTGTCATGGTGAGGGGTCAGAGTGATGAGTGTGCTTCGTGCATCTATGTACAGTTGTTTTGAGACCATTTACTACAGAAAACTGCTGCACCTCCTTCAAGCTCTGAAATGGAGCCGGTTCTCCTTTCAGGCTGCTGACAGACTGTGGTGTTCCTCTGTCTCCAGAGAGCTCAGTTGTGCCATCTCACAGGGATCAGTTCTTTCCCCAGCCCTTAAAACACAGGTGAAGCCATTAGGGGAACCATGTGTTGCCATGGTCTTAAATGGCAGCAGGTGACAGCAACCTTTGTATCTCCTCCCCACCCACCCTGCACAGAGAGCTCCACTCCAGACTGTCCCTTTGCCATGCTGAAATGTCATCACCTTGCCTTCAATTGAGGGTGTCTAGCTCAGCTGTCAAATAGGTCTCCTCCTCTGGACTGCCCACTGCTGCTGGAGTCTGAAGTAGCTGCAGCTACAGAACGATGCTCTTCCACTGAAGTTTGGCTAGAGCACTGGGCCCTGCTGTACTTGGGTGGTGACTCTGCTACAGTGATCCATACTTTTGGGAACTTCAAGCTGCATTGCCAAAGACCTTTTCATCATGGTCTGACCACTCCAATTTTAAACAACTAAAAGTAGTCCAGAAAACAGCTATGCTCTTTGCATCCCCTCAGAGCTCTGCACTGTACAACCATCCCCTCTAGTGTACCAGGTCAAACAAAGTCTTGATGTTTGTCTTCGAGCCCCTCCATAGAATTGGCTCTAGGTAGCTTAAAGACTGCTCTCTCTCCTGATATGATGATGATTTTCCTGGGCAGCTACATTCTTGAGGACAAAAGTGTTTCCCCCAGACATAACTAGATCAGAAAAAGAGGAGACGAGAACGAGGAGGGAAGTGATGGTCGTAAAAAGGAGAGGAGGAAAAAACAAATTTAAAAAATGGAAAATTAAAGAACAAAAATTGCATCCCCTTCTACAGAAGTAGGAAGAACAATGAGAACAGAGGCTTTTGTCTTGGGTTTTGCTCTCTGGGGGTGAGTTGAGACATTGAGGTGATGGGGAATGTGATAAAACCATAGCTAGCTAAACAGAACATAAGGGCTTGCTGTTATCTAGTGCAATGATTCCTTTAAAATTAAAAATATTCCATTATATTGCATCTGGCAAGATTTTGTGACTTAAGTAAGTTAGGGTTTCTTTGCTGCTGTAACCTTGTTCCCTCTGAAGTTAATGCAATTTTGTTCCATGGGAGCATGATTGGACCCTGTTACTTAAACAGTACATGTTTATATCCATTCTAATCTGATCACTTGAAATATTAAGAGAATTTTTCCAAAAGAATATTAAGCACAAGGTCCACCTTTGTTTATGAAAAAAATGTCCTGTAAGACAGCGATATCAGAAAAGGATTTGATGCTTTGTAACTTCATTACAAAGAGATTTAATTACATTGTTCGCTTGAATTCTGCCACACATCTTGTTAGGGATATTTTCTTTCTAATCCTAGGAGGGCTGGAATTCGAGCTCAGGTTTCTTTTTTTGCCTTCCACTGTTGAGGAAGAAATCCATGTTTACTAGAGTTTTGCCAATTTCAGTGTTCATTCTACTGCCGATAATCTGGTTGGTGGTGTTGGGAATTTGGTCTGAGAACACAGGCACATACTCTGGAAGTTGCTCCTGCTCCTTTTTCTTGCCCTGGAAAAAATAAATGGAAAGACCTTGCTTAAGATTATGGATAAAATTTTCAACACCCTCTAATTCCCATTTTCAAAAATGAAAGTCAATGGGACCTAAGATCTGAAGTAATTTCTGAAAATGGGATTTAGGTTCCTAAAACACTCAGGTATTTTGAAAATTTGTACCTGACATTTTATTCACCAAATGTATATAAAAATTTTACTGTAGAGACAGTAAAATTAATTATTATTAAGATAACTGAATTAATGTCTAAGAAGACAATGCTTAATTTGCTGTGGAAAAGTGGTGTACCATCTTACTCACCAAGAATCTACAGTCTTTAAGGATGCAGCATCTAAGTAGTTAATTCTCTGAACTGATCAAACAACAGTCTGAGCACTTGGTAATTTAATATACCATCTTTCATGAGGATAAAGTGGTTTCTGAATGGCTGGTTGAATCAACCATTTAAAAAAATATTTTTAAATATAAATAGTATTTATAAATATTTTTAAATTTAAATATAAATATTTTTAAATTTATTTTTAAATATAAATAGTTTGGTCCTAAGTCCTTACACAGGCAAATTTCCATTTAGGGTATGTCTTCACTTGCTGCCCTGGGATCGACATCCTGATGTTCGATTTAGTAGGTCTTCGATAGACCCGTAAATCAAATGCTGAGGACAGCTCATGCTGGCATTTGTACTCCTTGCAGTTGCAAGGAATAAGGGAAGCCAACAGGAGTCTTTGCTCCCATTAGCTTCCCGCAGTGGGAACAGCACCAACCTCAAATTAAGGTCAGTCAACTCCAGCTATGTATACTATGTATGCTGGAGTTGTGTACCTTAAGATGACCTTCCAGGTCTAGTGTGGTTCTGGTCTTATTCCATGGAAGAGTTTTGCCTGAGTAAGGTCTGCAGGACTGGGTCTAAAGTCATTGGTGTATGTTCTTGTGGGAAAATTCTGCTTCAAGCCAGCGCCTGATACTGCTTCCATTCACAGGGAAAGTGAGTTTTATCATTGGGAGCATGACTTCCCATGCAAACCAATTGACTTCAACAGCTTTGCATATACTGTAAGTCAGGACCCATTATGATGGTGGTGATGATGATAAGAATATAAAATAGATGAGCCCTTCCCCCCAAGTAATCAAGTGCAGAACCCCGTTGTTGTAGGCAAACTCTATATAAACTTGTCGAGCAAGATGATGATTTTTTAAAAATAATGACTGATTCTGTTGTGCTGACAATGTTTCTTAAATTCCTTTTAGGCTAATTCTTCAAGAACCCTTTTTAAATGATTGCCCTTTTATGGCATTTCAAGTACTTTCAAAACTAAGATGAAATACATACACACACACACACACACACACACTGCATTCCATCTCCTTAGAACGAGAATAGTAGTCAAGTGGCACTTCAGATTTTTTAGACATATTTTCCTGCAGTATTTAATCTTGAACAATTTGACAAATTACATTCCAGGATGGCTCAGTTTAGAATATTAGCCCACTAGGAAGTCTGTTGTAAACCAAAAAGAGCCTGGATTACAGTTAGTAAATTTGTGTGTAACCTACCGTTGGATCATAGTCCTTGAGGAAACCCCAATTCTGGTACCTTGTAATAGAAAAAAAAAAGGTTTTAACTGACTTGTTCTGTACTTTAGTTTCATAAGTTTTCTATGATTTAAAATAAACCTGGTTCTGTACCATAAAATAAATCAGCCAATGACAAAGAGTAGTGATTTCAAGTGATCACTTAATTTTTTTTCTTTTTACAAGAGAAAATGGGCAGACTCAACCTCTAATGATTAGATTATTTTGGCCCATTTTAAATGTACAAATATTTGCAATAACTATAGATGTCCCTCTGAGCAGAAATGGATATTAATGGAAGACCCTCATTGCAATTGGGATTGTATTATGCATAGCAGTATACAAACACATAGTAAAATGCGGTCCCTGTAACAAATAATATATGAAAAGTTTTCATTCATATTTTCTCAGGACAAACTGTCCTCTCAGCAGAAATTTTCAGATAATTACTATAATGATTTTTTCCTTTTAATTAGCATCATGGTTTTGAGGGATACTATTGTACTGCTCTCTCTCTCGCTCTCTCTCTCACCAGATAATTTTTATTTCAGTGGTGTGACTAGAATATCTCAGTACAATCAGACTTTATTTTAGAACCAAGTTCAATATTCTTCTCAGAATGAATCTAGCTCTGAATCTGAACAGTACTGGGCCACAGGGTGTTAAGTTGTATTCTTATATAATGCTCCTCCTTAGTGGAATTAGTGCAATTAGACTCGTGCACACAGTGAACACACAGAATGGTTTCACACATGGCCCAGACATGTTGATCTGCTCTTAGCAGGAGCTGCAAATATCTCCATTTACTGAACTGGCTGGAAGTTCAAGAGTTTCAGCTTTAAGGCATGTGGATGAGCTCTTGTGTTCCAAAGACATCCATGTTATAGTTGCTGGAAAATGATCCCTCGCCAATCTCTATCATGCCAACAATAGATGCTGCTCTGATGTCTGTCTTTACATGCTTTTTCTTGCAATGAAAATTCCATTTACAGCATACCGCCTCTGGCCCAGAAATCCACTGGTGTCAATTAAAAGTTATTACTACAATACCCATAAATTGACAGAGTAATCCCCATGTTTAGCTGGAATTCTCTTCATTTTTCTAGTTAATAGCTATGCTGATAGAAATTCCTCCTAACAAAACATAGTGGTATTCTGTATGTTTTTTTCTCAGAATAAATCACCCACAGGCTGAGTCTACTTTAAAAGTATGAAGGCAGAAGCATCCTAAATATGTGTCCTTTTTAGACAAATAACTCCATAAAGAGTAGTGTGTTGCTGACACGCCACTGTGGTGTTTGCCATTTAAGAATCTATTTTAAGTTCCAAATCTGCCATTTACAATCCATCCATTTCTTGCTGATCAGACTCATTTAATATGAGAACAGTTTCTTTCCATCACAAAGAGCTCTGTGCTTAACACCCCCCTCCAGCAATGACCTGGCTTTCTTTGTTGTCATACTAAGCTTTATTTGCTGCTACAGTGTTTTGTACAAATTGACAAACTGAAAGAAGCTGTGGTGTGGTCGCAGGGTTGTGACTGGGAAAACCTGTCGCTAATTTGCTTTGTGAATTTGAGCAAATCCCTTTACTGTCCCCATCTGTAAAATGGGGATACTGACAGTATGCCCACCTTTGTAAAGTGCTTTGGTATCTGTAGAGAGAAGGTGCTGTCTAAGGGCTTGCCTTCCTGGAGAGGTGCTGCATGGCAAGCAACGGGGTAATTAGGGTTGCTAACTTTCTAATTGCACAAAATCAAACACCTCTGCCCTGCCCCTTCTCTGAGCCCGTACCCCTGCTCCTTGGGGGGTCAGTGAAAGTAAAGTTGGGGGAGGCAAGCCCTCAATCCCACCAGAGGTGTAGCGAAGGGAAGGCGGGGGAGCAGCTTCCCCCAGGCGCCACTCTAGGGGGCGTCAATTTAGTCCCCCTCCGCTCCCCCTGTAATCCCTCGGTTCGCCTGCTCCTCCTCTGTCCACTGCCACTGGCTGGAACCTCCTCCCTGCCTCTTTGCCCCCAGCCAGACCCTCCTCCATCATCACTGACAGGTTAGTGTGTGGGGGGGGGGCCTGGCCCCAAACTGGAGGGGACGGGGAAAGATGTGGTACAAGCTCCCCGCCTCCTCCCAGGGTCAGGCTCAGCCATGCGCCAGGTTCGGGGCCCCACCATGTGGTGGTGGTGGGAGGAGGCGCAAATTTTGCTTTTGCCCCTGGGCGCATAACACCCTCACTATGCCTCTTTTGCTGAGACCCTGACCCCACGAGAGCCAAACTCCTCCCTCCCTCCATGGGGAGGCGGAGCAGTGTGCTGCATGCCCCCCACCACCATGAGGAAGGTAAGAGGGCAGGCAGGCGCACGGCTCCAACTTCCCTGGCCCAGGAGCACCAGGGAGGGATGAGGGCGAGTGTCTCCAACCTTCCCAACCCCTGCGCACATGGAGGGCGGGCACTGGGGGCAGCAACCCCTACAGTAGGCATTCTGGAGGCGGAGTGTGGGTGGGGCCAGGCTGGCGTTTTTTGAAAACAATGCCTCCCCCTGCCTAGGCTACCAGACATCCATGCCCTGCTCCTTCCATCCCTCTCCCTCCTTCACTTTCACTGGGCTAGGATATGGTTGGGGTGTAGGAGGGTATGTCTACACTACCCTCCTAGTTCGAACTAGGAGGGTAATGTATGCATACCGCACTTGCTAATGAAGCCCGGGATTTGAATTTCCCGGGCTTCATTAGCATAAGCGGGGAGCC